CTTCGCCTGGTTTCCTGGATTTCTCCCTTAGTCTTGCCCCTTCTGATTCTGTTTGCCGTTCGTTGACCTTCGCTAGCCCTAGGACTATTCTTGTGTCTTCCCCGCCTTATACCTGGTTGCCACTGTTTGACACTGCCTGAGTTTCTGACCTCTCTGCTAAATAAAGCTTTGCATATGGATCCGCACGTCTCACGTCTCGTCAGCCCCGTAACCGAATACTCGGCCACACAAGGATCCAGTGGCTTTTCAAGTGGACATTGGCCAGGTATGGACACTGCAAGGCTGTTGTTAGCCCTCGAGCAGGGCATACGCTCACTCGAGGTGTACATTCAAGAGTATCTGGACATCGCCTATCACCCTGATCTACCAGACTGTGTTTTAATAGATTTTTTTTGTAGTGGCATTAACCAACCGCTAAAATATAAACTCGTTCACGAGGGTCCTCGTTCATCACTGAGTTGTTTTTTGGACTTTGCGTTATTGACTGTAGGCTCTCGATTCACTGTGGGTATTGCGGAGGATTGCAACCCCACACTCACTTCTGTAATGGCCCCCGCACTAGATTGCGTTCACAAAATGGCGGCGACAGAGGAGCCTGATCACAAAATGGCGGACACAACAGCGCCCCATCAAGTCACAATTGACCTTCATGAGTCAAGTCACCGCTGATCTTCACGAGTCAGGTCAAGTCACCGTTCTTTTTCATGAGTCTAGTCAAGTCACAGCTGATAGTAATGAGTCTAGTCAAGTCACAGTTTATGATCATGAGTCAAGTCACAGCTGATAGTTATGAGTCTAGTCAAGTCACAGCTGATAGTTATGAGTCTAGTCAAGTCACAGTTGATCGTCATGAGTCAAGTCAGGTGACAATTCATTATCACGAGTCAAGTCTAGTCACAGCTGATCTTCTTGAGTCGAGTCTAATCACAGTTGATCATCACGAGTCAAATCAAGTCACAGTTTATGATCATGAGTCTAGTCAAGTCACAGTTGATAGTTATGAGTCTAGTCAAGTCACAGTTGATCGTCATGAGCATTCACAGCACTGATTGCACACAGCTGGTTCACTAATTGCACACAACACTGATTGCACCCAGCTGTTTCATATTACTCCCTCACTATTTAACACTCACTCTGATCCCTTCCCTCTGCCGAGTATTGTTTAGCGCCTATCTCTTGATAGCTACTCTACAGAGCCCTCGTTAGCCTCCTAGCCTAGCTTAGTCTTGCCTTACCTTACCTTACCTGTTTTCTCGGTTCCTGATCTTCGCCTGGTTTCCTGGATTTCTCCCTTTTAGTCTTGTCCCTTCTGATTCTGTTTGCCGTTCATCGACCTACGCTAGCCCTAGGACTATTCTTGTGTCTTGCCCGCCATATACCTGTTTGACCCTGCCTGTGTTTCTGACCTCTCTGCTCAATAAAGCTTTGCATATGGATCCGCACGTCTCACGTCTCGTCAGCCCCGTAACAGCCACGACTTCTTATGTTGAGGGAATTATATATTTTTCTCGTGGCCACGAGTTTAATGCATAAACAAACCTGCGTGACCATAGCATCCCGGTATTATCAAAAATAGATAAAACATTTTCATTAACATTAAACATTTAATTTAATATTTGCTTATTATTATTATTACTTTAACTTATTAGGGCTATATTTTTATATTTATTGTTATATATGCTTATTTCCCCTTTCAATTTGTGTATCGCTTTACCTAGTTAACGTTTTGTATAATTATGCTAGTATTTGCTAGCCTACCATATATTTAGTAAATAAACACCTGACAATTATGCCAATAAAGTTTTGACTTTATGATTGTATTTACGCCCATGTGTGATGATAAATGAGCGTGTTGTGTTTTCATTTACAAATGAACTACGTGAATGATTAATTCCTCAACGAAACACTATAGTGTTTATAATTATGGTCTATTAATTAGCCAAAATAAAATGAAATATATGTTAAATTTAAACTGCGTTCCAGCAAAAATTCCAGTCAGCATGATCAAAGCTTTATTGGCATGTTGAACATTTACAGTAGGCTAATATTTACAAAAGTATTCAGAACATTAAGTAAAGACATCGAAATAAAGGGAAAAAATTATTTTAACAATTTTTTTTTGTAAATTTTTTCCTGTGACAGAAAATATATCTGTCCACTACACTGGACGGCATGCACCAAAGGGTATAATTCTGCCTATGGGCCTATATACAGGTTCTGCCTTATTTTGTGTTTTATTAAAATTATGACAGTTTTATTGATCAGAAATATTACTGTAAATAGTCTTCAGATTTTATCATTTATTTCAATGCTTACAGTCTATATTTATTTATTAGGTAATATAAAAGTGTAGGGATGTATACATGCATTGTATGAGTGCAGATATATGTGTGCATGATTTGACACAGAAACACTGCCCCACGCAGCCCCACACACCCCTGGCCCATAGACACACACTCTTACATTTTGTTTGTTACACTTCACATTTCTGTGCCGTCATGACATAGCTTGTTGTTATTGAATGTTCTTATGTGTATTCAAACCATTTTCACGTAGCAAATATTTTAAAAATTTGTTTTTTAAAACCACACATTTAGTTCTATTGATTCACTTTTCATACCTTCGATGCATGGTGTCCATTACAGTGGATGATGTACAAAATGATGGCGCTTTTGAGTAGAGTTTTGCCGAAAACACTGAGCAAATTGGAACGTGTGTGCAAACAGCTGAAATGTGTTCAAAGTTTTGAGAAACGTGTCTTTGTTTCGAGAACTGTATGAATGGTTTGGAAAATTGAGCCAAATGAATCAGTTATAGTGTGTTAGCAATAGAGAAAAACTGTAAATCTGACCAATTCAAATAATTTGTCATAAATAAACATCTCAGGAAAACTTCAAATTAGAATATGACTTCCTGTTACTTATCTGCATCAGTTTCTAACATGTCTTCTGTAGAGGACACCAGGACATACAGAATGTTCCCTTTCGAGGGAACTTCAAACTGCATCCTCTAGGGGTCGCTATGGGGAATGCCTTCAGCGAGACCAGTGTCTGAAGCATACATCTAAAAACGGCAATATCATTGACAGAGGACAGCCTATGACGTCATTACCCTGCACGATCACAGTATAAAAGGGCGCCGGGATAACACGTCATCCTCTTCTTCGTCTTCACTGACCATTTGTTTATGTTAGCATTAAGCTAAACACGACTAGGAGTGCATGTTCTCTCGCCAGAGGCTTTGCTCTGATACCTGCAGTTTCACACGGCTTGCGTGCTGTGTGTGTGTGGTGAAGAGCAAGCTCGTTCAGCTCTCGAGGGAGTTGGATGCGCTCTGCATTCATTGCTTATTTCTTGTGAGGGATAAGCATGAACTGAACGCGCTCATCTCACGAGGAGACGGCTTGTGCTCATCGTGATGCATTCGCAGGACTACTGAGGGGGATGTGAGTACTTCACCATTTACCCGAGTTTAAATGAGCAGTAAGCAGGCACTAAGCAGGCCGCCACTGCCATTGGCAGATCCATGGCGGCCATGGTGGTTATGGAGAGACATCTGTGGGTCGAAAGAGAAGGGCTGTCTTCTTGATGTGCTAGTTTCCTCTTCTGAGCTTTTCGGCACTTCTGCAGCCTGGGCTTCTGAGGAAGCCTCCCAGCATCAGGTCCGCATTATAACGCTGCAACCTCAGGACCTGCGGGTCCTTCTCGTGGGCTAGTACTCTTCTGAGTACATGCTTCGCGACATGGTCCCTATCCTCTGTCCAGGTGCGAACTACTCATTTCTCACCCTAAGGGGTGTCCCGAGATTTAAATCGTTCCTTAACCCTTTAGAACCTAAAGCTAAAATAGGCCGTTTTCACTCATTTTGTTTTTTGAGTAAAAAACGAATAACACAATGTGGTATCTTCAAGTGTAAGGTGTCATTTTTTTCAGAAAATGATTGGCTTTCAGGAAATTACAGTTATTGTACATTATTGTGTGTGGTGAGTTAGTAAATATAATTTAAATAGACAAACTTAACCCTTTAGAACCTAAAGCTAAAATAGGCCGTTTTCACTCATTTTGTTTTTTGAGTATAAAACGATAACACAATGTGGTATCTTCAAGTTCAAGGTGTCATTTTTTTCAGAAAATGATTGGCTTTCAGGAAATTACAGTTATTGTACATTATTGTGTGTGGTGAGTTAGTAAATATAATTTAAATAGACAAAAAAAAGAAGAAATTTTACTGCTTTTTATATAGAAAAAATCAGAAAACTCATGAACGAAAGAATCTAATGCCTCAGTCTTGAAAAAGGAACTATAATACATATATACAAGTCTTTTTGGGACACTGGATTTCACAGTTTTCACTCAGGAGCCATTTGTTTTACCCCAATTCTCCAAGTGTTTTTAGATCCTTCAATCCAGTCATTTAAATATGGTGCTCTCTGAAGCAGTTCCTGTCTAACTGCAAGCATAGTCCCACATCACATTCCTGGCACTTCCATGGGGTGCTCCTTTTGCATCGTATGCAACGACACCGACACCGACTGAAAGGTCTTGAGTGTCACTCACAGGAACAGGCAGATGATCGCATCTCTCTCTCGGGCTGCCATCCAGGGGAACACCTGTGAGCTGAGCAGCTAGCAGCTCCTGAAAGTTTTGCCGTGTCATGTGCTTGTCACGGTGGATGGCACACAGCTCTTTGTGTAAAATGAAGCTGTTGGTGACTGCAATGTCCAGGAAGTGCTTGAAAATTGTCATGTACCACTTTCGTGTTTTACGGTGCACCGACTTTGTTCCGAGCAGCTTGTTGGAGGTGTCAACTCCTCCAATGTACTTATTGTACAGCTACAGCTGTGACCACAGCCCTGGCCCCTCTGAGATGGTATTGTGTTCGATGTGGATGACCCATTTGCTTCTTCTTAGGTAACTGGAGAAGCCACACTGGAAAAAAATAGAAGCATGTATTACAAAATCACTATATATATATTCATAAAAATACTTTTCATTATAAAGCAATTTATTAGTAAGAGCAAAATTGTAAAAAAAATAATAATTATAAAAAATAATACAATAACAATGAAATAACAATAAAAATAAAGCCTGCAGTTGCTTACACACACACATGTGCACACACACACACACATACATGCACATACACACATACACATCTATACAAAAACATGCAGATATACACATGCATGCATACATGCATGCATGTACACACACATACATATACAGTACATCTTGTGTGCAAAGACAAACAAGAATGTAGTGAGAAATCTGGAGAGGAGTAAGAAATTCTCATGGGCTGATGTATACCCTGAAGAAATAAATACGTACCTAGGTCTGCTTCTCTACATGGGTTTGATGGATCTGCCAAAAGTAAGGGACAAATTTCCAGCTCTTCCTGGACATGGTAGTGACCAACAGCTTCATTTTACACAAAGATATGCATGTACACACACATTCACACACATACATGCACGTACACGCATACACAAATATACAGATATACACATAAATGCATGCATGCACACACACACACACACACGCACACACACGTACACACACATTCGCACACACTCACCTATACACATACATATATACACAAGCACACATTCACACACACAAACATACAGATAAACATATGCATGCACGTACACGTACACGTACACGCACACAAACACACACACATACACACACACACACACACACACACATTCGCATACACACACACACACGCACTTATACACACACATATATATGTGCATGCACATACATACGCACAAACATGAATGCATGCATGCACACACACACACACATAACGTTACACGAGCAAACATGAACGCATGCATGCATAGGCACTTATACGCGTGTGCAACGCACATATACCACATAAGTGTGTGAAACAGTGGTTTTTCGAACTGAAACACGGAGTCTATGACTATTTTACTCACATTTCTCATAGATTCATCAGAAAGAAACATATAAGCTTCACTTACCAATCCACGTCTGGATCAGTGCCAGCAGCATACGCCTCCTCAACGTTTGAATACAGACTCCGGGTCTGAAGTCATGCTCAGCCTCTTCCCAGGTGTCACGGAGTCTGACTATTTTACTCACATTTCTCATAGATTCATCAGAAAGAAACATATAAGCTTCACTTACCAATCCACGTCTGGATCAGTGCCAGCAGCATACGCCTCCTCAACGTTTGAATACAGACTCCGGGTCTGAAGTCATGCTCAGCCTCTTCCCAGGTGTCATCAAAGATCAAATCAATTGCCTCCTATCTTGTAAAACCTTTCTTTGCCACGTTTGTTTTGCCCGTTTTTTTATTATATTATGCACTCTCAAACTCTCTAACCTGCTGCGCTCTGTATCTCCCACTTCAAATCCGCCCTTCCCCCTCTCCCCGAAAGCCGCTGTGATTTGCTGATGGAAAGCATGCAATTACCGTATGAAGCCGTATATTGTCATAGAGCGCAAGTTGTCTACTATCAGACGCAATTGGATTTTTTTTTCATAGTGCAAACGGTTGGTGAGTTATGATAACATAAGTAGAGCATGGTTAATTGTGTCGTCACCGACACGTCCGGTTTTAAAGGGTTAACCTTCATGCACATTCTCTGAGCTAGAGGCATTGAGGAGCTCGATGCTCCATAGACGGTCAGGCCTGTGGGTCCTCACTGTCACACTGCCCTTATGGAAGAGAGATTTGTGTTTCTGTGGAAACCCCTCTTTTGTGCTTCTGCTCTGAGGAGCAGTAAGCTCTATATTGTAGCGTCTCGACCAATCTGACACACTAATTTTATTTGATTTAACAAATCAATTATTCATTAGATTAACAAATCGTCACAGTCCCCTCATGTTTGAACTCAGAATCTGACGTATCCCTCAGGTTTAGATCTGCTGAATATGTGTGTGTTCCATAAAATTCATTCTTTATGCCTCTTTCTGTACTGAGTTAAACTTTAACCCTTTCCTATACCAACTGTATGTGTGTGTGTGTGTGTATGTGTATATTAGACCAGTTTATGTGTGTATGTAGGATGTTAGACCAGTTTATGTGTTTATGTAGTATGTTAGACTAGTTTAAGTGTTTATGTAGTTAATAAAACCTTACTTGTATCACACTTGACGTGTTCATTGTTTGCTCATAACCGGAGTCACTAATCATGCAGATTTACGCTACAAGCTTTGTAGAATTGTACAGTAAGAAAGTTATTTCCCTTAACCAGGAAATTAACGTTCTTAGAATTGACAAGACAGTTGACCCTGAGAGGTCAGCTAAATATCTACAGCGGATCTAAAATATGAATAGTTAATTATAACTAGTTATGGTTAGTTATTCATATTTCCTGTCATGAGCTGATTCGTTACAATACGCATGAATGGTTATTGGGTCCCGCTATTTCTTCAGATTCTATCGGGTCTGGTTATATGGGACCCACGCTCTGTATCGAGATAGAGAGCATGAGATCGTGTCCAGCTGTACCAGGGGACTGTCTCTTATTTGGCCCTGCTGGGTTACCCCTGCTAATTTAGCGCCCCCTTCTGGTAGAGCTGAGAAGTGCTCCCCTCTCGGTGAGGGTTAGCTATGAGTCGCTCCCAGTATGTGCTTTAAGGGCCCGCCTCAGCTTGAGAGCCGAGAGTGCTGCACCTGAAGGATGCCATTTGCAACAAACTAAGTGTTAGGCCCATCTCTGTTGCCTCCTTGGTCAGTTGCCTTTATGTTGGGACCTTGTTGTTCCCTTAGAAATGTGTGTTCCCCTTCTAACAGGATCCTATTTCTGATGTCTCATTTGCGATCTATCTGCCCCGGGCATGGCTGTGCTTCCCTCACTGCGGGAGGGTCCCTTTGAGCTTGCCGGTCCTGGGCAGACTGGGTGAGTCCTCCTCTCGACTCGAGTGTTAGGTCCTCTACCCTGGGCTATTGGTCGAGCTGGGTTCCTCTCTCTCTTCGCTAGGGGTTGAACCCTCTGCTCTTGAGCTCTGTGGCAGTGACATCAGGTAGTTGGACCTCTTGCTGCTTTCCTGATAAGCTGCCTCTATTCGGGTCAAGCCAGGCAGTGCTCCCCTCATCTCAGAGGGTTGTCTTTGAGCCTGCCGCTCCAGATTAAGTGTCTGAGGACTTCTGGGCATCTGTGAGCATATGCTTCAGAATCTTTCCGAAGCATCAAAAAGGGTGGGTTTCAAGTATAACTCGTTTGAAGTAATGGTGCTTCATATTACATTATCCAGATAAACAAGTATTAATGATAAATCCCCTGTGATGTTTGTACTGGCTACTGTATACAGGCCACCAGGGCACCATACAGACTTTATTAAAGAATGTGCTGATTTTATTTCTGAGTTAGTGCTGGCTGCAGATAAAGTTTTAATTGTTGGTGATTTTAATTTAATTTTAATCTTCCTGATTTATTGCAATTCCTTAGCATATCCAATACCTCAGAACAACTTGATGATGTAACAGAAACTATGGACTCTCTTTTTTAACATTTTAGATACGGTTGCTCCTTTACGCTTAAGGAATATTAAGGAAAACAGTCTGACACCGTGGTATAATGAGCACACTCGCACCCTAAAGAGAGCAGCCCGGAAAATGGTGTGCAGCTGGAGGAAGACAAAACTAGAGGTATTTCGTATTGCTTGGCAGGAAAGTACCCTATCCCAGGGGTTTTCAACCTTTTAGGACATGCGCCCCCCCCAACACCCAACACCCCCCGCCCCATTACTGTATTCACACCGAATTACTTTATTAACATCAACATAACAAAAATATCCATTAAAGCTATTAAAGCAGCAAATTATTTTTATTTTGCTCTTTTTGATTAATATTTATATAAGAAATGCACGGATCTGTTATACTGATGTACATCTGATATTTTCTTTACTGTTTATGTTCACTTAAAACAACCAACTGTGCTTACAAGGATACTTGTCAAGACAGCCATTGGTATTCACCTGCTGTCTGAGAAAGCTAATGTTATCTGTTTGTGCACTTCAGATGTGTGCGCGGTGCGCATAGAAACGCTTTATCACAGCGCGTGCATACCGCACTGAGATGTCTTGGGCTTAAATGGCTTAAAATTACTTTAATGTTTAAACTGACAAGACTTAAAACGCGTGAGAATGAAAAACTTTCTTGAGGAAGCAGCACTGGCCTGATCGTTAAGATAGTTTTGGGGGGCTAAGGTGACAGATAAGGGGGCTGAAACCCACCTAAAAAAGGTTTAGAACCGCCCCTGGTGTAGCGTGCGTAATTATACTGAAACATAAATATATAAACAGTTTACCTGATTCAATGTGATGGCTGAGCCTGTTTCTGAGATAACAACATGCCAATTCGTGGTTGGATTTCCGACACGGCTAACCGTAAATCATCTTACACTGTCAATAAGCGTGACTGATACTCGAGCCAACTCTGCTCAAACTGTCGACTAGCAGTGGGAGTTAGATTTCCCCCTAGTGGATGGCTAAAGATTTGCTAAGTCATATTCATAAATCCTCAAGGGAATGTCTCTGAATTAACTGATGCTCGCACCCCCCTTGACAGGTGCTGGCGCCCCCCTGGGGCCCCACATGTTGAGAACCCCTGCCCTATCCTACAGAAAAGCATTAAAAACTGCTAGATCTGATTACTTTTTGTCTCTTTTAGAAGAAAACAAACATAACCCCAAGTATTTATTCAATACAGTGGCTAAATTAACGAAAAATAAAGCATCAACAAGTGTTGAAAAATTTCCCAACAATGACTTTATGAACTACTTTACTTCCAAGATCGATACTTTTAGAGGTAAAATTGTAATATGCAGCCGTCAGCTACAGTAACACAGTTACTCAGTCAGTCAGTACTCGG